TTTTAAACAGTTTAACACTCCTCTTACTCCTCTTACTCCTCCCCTATTTAACACTCCTCTTACTCTACTCTGGCAGCTGGAATGGAACCCCTATGGTGCTATTGTGGAAACATTCCCTAAGCTTGGCCCTGACTGTAAAAATGACATCCATGTTTAGTGTTCAATCACTGACCTCTAAGGAAGAAGGACTCAAAGGCATTGAGAGACACAGAACTCCCCTGGTCGGGGAGATGGGTGGAGATTAAGTTGAAACATTTAGTCTCTTCTGCAATCAAGTCCTAACTATACGATCAAGTCTCAACCAATTCCTGATTATCTCTCACCCTTTAGGAATTACATACTATACAGTGATTAGATACTGACAAAAATAAAGACAAGCATTTGAAAATACATAAAGAAATAAAAACATGGAATTTCTCACAAGGCCCTGGATCAAAAAAATTTACAAAAGATCTTTTGAAAAAATCACTATTTGTGATCTTATTAATACACAGACCATCACTTTGTTTAAACTAAGTCATGTTAACATACCAATAAAATAGTAAACAAACCAACATTTTAAACAATTTTATAAATGTCTTTTTTGTTGTTGTTGTTGTTAGTGTCACTCTCAACAATATACAAAAATAACACTACAGGACTATCCACCTAACCTGTCCCCATCTCCTGTAAAGTCCTGGGCCCTGAAAAAAGACGGGTCATCAGCCTTCGCTGTTGACATCCCCTGCAAAGGGCAAGTGCATGTGGCTGCCAGTGACATTGGGCAATGGAGGAAAGTCTGTCAGGCTCTGGATCTGGGACCTGAGTTCTTTGCGCACCAGGGAAACTGGCTAACTTGCGCTTGTGTTCTTCCAATTTATGCTCTTTCTCTGCAAGGGCTTCCTTTGACAACGAAGAAAATCTGCTAGCATTGGAGAGTTGCTTCTTGTCATATATGTCAGCCACCAATCTGCCATTGTAATCTGCCAGCAACATACAAGCATCCTCTACCATTTTAGGAAGCCTTTCTCCAGATTCTTTGTCTGTTATCTTATCTAGGAGGGACACTTCTTGGACTTGGTAGGTTGCATTACCCCCCACTTCCTCACCCCTCATCCCTTTCTGGAGAGCTGGTTCTGCCTGAGCTAACTTGGCTTAGCAGAGAAAACAATCAAAATTCTAGTTTCCTTTTCATCCAGTTTTTTGCCATCAAGAAACTGTCCAGGAAAGGGCTAAAATTAGGGTCAAAGCCTACGACAATAATAAGGCATGGTTAGGGGCTGGAGTTAGAAACCCCAATAATCTTTATTCTCTCCTTCCAAATACATAGATGAAATTAAAGTGGAAACACTGTGCTGCTTTGAATACTATTTAAAACAAGTCTTCTAGCCACACCCATCTACCGGACTGCCACCCGCAGCCCCTCCCTCCCATTAGAAATCCCTCAGCCAGCATCCGGAGGAATTAGCATCTGGGTGTCAAGTTACTACAAAATTGAATTGCGGGCACCCCAAATGCTGGTAATTCATATCATATTGCTAACCATGGTTAATCGTGTTAATTGGCTTGAGGTTCACCTACTGAGACTTCCTTGTGTTGGGTCCTACTATAGTTTATCATTTTTTTCTCAGAAGCTCATTTTAATGGGTGTTATTTCCAGGGAGTCCTCTGTGCCCTGAGGTGGCAAAGTGTTCCCAAAGAGAATTTGCTTTTTCTCAGAATTTTCTTTTCCCCAGAGGCTCACGAGTCTTTTTGAGCTCGTTTCTCAGTTTGGGATTTATATTCCAAGCAGGTCATTTACATGTAGACCCTGCACCCACTGGCACAGGCTTGGGATTTACATTTCTCAGAAGAGATCTGTTCACATGCACATACCAGATGCCCAACTGCATCCTGGACAGTTCTTCTTGAGTGTGTCACAGGTTCCTCAATTTCAACTTCTCAAAACTGAACTCCCCCTGAAAATCTATACAACATTCCTTAATCCAGTGAACAGCACCAGGCTGCTGTGTACAGTTGTGTAAGTTGTTCACTATGCAAGACACAAATGGGTTGAAAGCTAGCTTGCATGCTGCTCACCAAGTGGTACATCCACAGGACTGTGTCCACAAAGACAGCATCTTTCTCTAGGTGTATAAAGATACCACATGTTGCCCTGGCAACAGCACCATCAGCCTTGTTGCCACTTCTTCTCCCATACATCCCCCCACCCATATCCAAGCCATCCAAGAGTCTTGCCATTTTTACCTTTGAGTTAGCCATCAAATCCCTCTCCTTTATGCCACCACTTCAGTAAGTTGCCAGATTTAGCAAATAAAAATACAGACCTCCCAGTTAAATTTGAACTTCAGATAAACAAATAATTTTTAGTATCACTGTGTCTCCTGCATCCATTCTGTCCTCCCTTTGTAAGAAAACCCCAGTTTCTGCACCCCAAAGAACACATTTCTAGCCAAAGGACCACGCACTAACACAATCACCATGAGAAGCTGACCCCACACCCTCTCCATATTTGGTGGAGGCAGATACATTTCCTCAAAAAACAAATCATTGGGATATATGGTTTATTTGATGTGAGGCTGAGACCCTCCACACACAAGAAATGTTTACTGGGCATGTATGTATTTCTTACAAGGCCCAGGAGTTGGCTCCTGAAGTCAGTAGTGCCCCACCCCCACCACCCAGGGCGGGTTCAGGCTGTAACACCTCCTAGTTTCCTGACATCTCAAGGAGGCTCCCCGTCCTCTCCCAGAGCCCACTGGGAACTCGGCCAGTACCCCCCTAAAAGATGCACCGTCCCATCTCTGGCACGTTGCCCAGGTATCGCCCGCTCCTGATTTTCCAGCCAGGAAAGAAAAGCCTCGCTAGTTCACTGCTGTGATCTTGGAGAGAGCCAACGCTAAAATACCTCCCCAAGCCAAAGCCTGTGAACAAGGCGTTTGTTTACCTGCCTAAGTTTTGAGGGCCAAACGCTTAAGAACAAAAAGAAATCGTCTAACCAAACTGAACATCTCAAACTAGAAGTGTACACAATGGAATCATACAAAATATTTCTAAATCATTTGTGGAATTTTAAGAGTTTAATACCCTAATATCTTAATATTTTGAGAACCCAAGAGTGCAGAGACTGTAGAAACAGTCTTGGACCTGTCTTCATTCAGCTGGTTTGGACTTTAGTGCCAGTAGCTGTGTAATAACTTTTCGTCTAGTCCATGGAGGCCACTTTTCACTTTTCCGAGGATGTGAAATGAGAACACCTCATGTGCAATATAAGCTGGTACTCTAATAAATTTATTTGTCAATGTCATATACAAGTTGTTCTTATTAAACCTTCAAACTTGTTATTGAAAGTAAGAAATGAGCACACACACACACACACACCTGTGCACAGACATTTTTATTTACCAAAGAACTAAGGTGAGATGAAGAGGACCTTCGTGTCTGGGAGGGCCAGCCTCTTGGCACCTACAGAGGCGGGGCTGGAAGGGCCATGATACACATTCTTCGTGTTTGGCCGCCTCCCTCCGGGGGTGCCCAGCCTTTGGCGTCTCTGGGTTACCCTGGAAGAAGAGTTGTCTTGGGCCACACATTAAATACATTGTGATACATGATCACAAAAAAAATCTCATAATGTTTTAATTAACAATTTTGTTTGGCCACATTCATAGGCACTCTCTGCCACACGTGGCCCACAGGCTGTGGGTTGGACACCCTACGCCTTCGTCTCCTCAAAGCATGTGTGTGCGTACACATGTGACCTGAAAGCAGTGACGGAGCTCTTCGCCTGCCATCCTTGGGAGTGGCACAGAATAAGGCCACTGAGAACCCCAAATCAGTGCCCTGATTTCCAGGAGATAGAATTTGGCCCTGAAACTTTCACTTAATAATTTTAATAACTTTCACTTAATAAATCATATCTACTCAGGCTTAGAGCGGCATCTAGGATTTAGACCTCGTTGAAACCTAAAGACTACTACAAATCTCATGAAACTGGTTGCTTGTTTCTCATAACCCCTTTCCTGTGTAGGATGCCGTCCCCCCAGCAGCTCCCAGTTCCACCTGGGCAATCCCATCAGAAACCCCTGGAGAACCTTGGAGCCTCTACACTGTTCCCCACCATCCACTCACACAGGTGGTTGCAGCTGGCATCTTTATATTTTAAGTAACAGGCACACAAATTTTTTTTCGGAAGTTCATGTATTTGAAAAAATCTGTTGGCAACCTCTTTTTTCCGTTTCTAAATTATTTGGCTTTATTTTCTTCCCTGGATTTTGCTAGGTAGCAGGGCGGCCTCATGTCCCGGGGTAAGAGAAATAGCACAGAGGCGTGCTGATGCTAACCTGAGGACCCGCTGGGCACACTGGCTGGCAGTAGCCACACGCTCTCTACTGATTCATCTAAAGGCAGCTGGGAAGACAGCATGGATGTGCTTCATTCGGTTTGGCTGTGTCTGAAGACGTTTTGACAGGAAATTATGTCTCCTGTCTTGGGCATTCTGCGTCTCAGCATGGGCCCCAGTTCTCTTTCCACTGCAAGATTTCGGGGCAGCCAGATCTGTACCACTCATTAGCCAACCAATGGGGTCTCCTTAGTGGAGAAGGAGAGTGGCTGTGAAAATGCTGAACCATCGGTGTGACTGCTGAGAGTCACAGCCTGCCTGTACAAGGGTGGCTTTGTACCCACCTTTTCCTCCAAATGTTTGCTTCTTGCCTGATTGATGGAAGACCCTAGGATTCATGACTGGTGCTCGCTGAGCTGTCACTCTGCTTGGCAGTGTGGGCAGACAGCACGGAAGCAGGGAATGGAGCTCCCAGGCACTGGCATCAGTTACCTGGTGGAGAGCCAGCCTGCACATTTCTCTGACATGTATCAAGTAAATAGTACAGAAAAATCTCAAAAGGCATTAATGAAATGAAAATAATTTTATTAAAGTTCACGAAAGCTCAAATGTCTTCATTTTACCATTGATTCGAGCACATCCTTAGAAAACAAAATTTGACTAAATAAAACTGAATGCGGACTATATAGTGGGGGTATTATATCAATGTTGAATTCTCTGAACTTGATATTTGTATTGTAATTGTTGGAGAACATCCTTGACCTTAGGAGACACACACTGAGGTTTATAGATATGTAGGAGTAAGGGCGATGATGCCTACCATGCACTCTTGAGTAATTCAGCAAAACAATAACCACGATGATATGAGAGAGCGCGCACACAAATTTGGGCAGGCGTTAACAAGCAGAGAGCTCAGGTGAAGGATATGTAGGTATTTGTTCATTGTACAATTCTCGTAATTTTTCTGCAAGTTTGCAAGTTTTCAAAATATAAAGTTTAAAAAGAAAACAAGTACAGTGACCCCTCATCAAAGTCAAACTTTTGACTGAGAACAGGCACACCAACAGGAGCAGTCAACTGAAGGAGGCCCCCCACCAGGGTGCTTGGTGCATGCTCCATGGGCCTCCTTCTGCTCAGGGCTGTCTTGGAAAGTCCAAAGTACCTGTGGATAGAGGCACAGTGTTAACAGTTGAGTTCCATTAAAGGACTAAGCATTCTCATCCTGACTGGCATGGCTCACTTGGTTCAGCATCATTCGACTCCAGGTCCTGGCCCCAGTTGGGGTGTGTGTGAGAGGCAACCGATCAGTCCATCGATGTTTCTCTCATACATTGGTGTTTCTCCCCCTTTCTTTCCCCCTCTCTTCCCCTCCCTCTAAAAATAAATAAATAATCTTTAAAAACCAAAACCAACCACTCAACCCATGAAGTGCAGTCACAACACCTGCCCAAGGGGCCACCTGGGGCTGAACACACCACCCACTCTGGGAGAGGCTCTGCCTTTTCTCCTCTCCATGGGGAAGCCTCTCAAAAGCCTGCTGTGCTGGGCTTGTCTCCAGTTTGTATGCTATTCTTTGAAGGTTTTTAACCCACCAGTGGAGAATAAATTGTGCAGCAAAGGGGTCGCTGGCTGCCAATTGTCAAGTTCCTGAACTTCTCTTATCTCGTTCTTCAGCCTGTTGGCCTTCTCCTTCACCCAGAAGGGCAAGCTGCAGGAAGAAAATACCCTGAGTTTGCGTCTGTCGGATGCAAAATTTATAAACATGGTCAGTAAGAAGGCCTCCAATTTAGATCAGTGTCAAAATAAAACTCCATGTTAACTGTTCACCACTTGTCCCTGCCCAAACCCAGGTCTATTTTCTGCCCTTTTCTGTCCAGGAAGCTGCCCCTGCAGCCATCATCACCCAGGCTCCTCCCTGCCCCCCCGGTGCACTGGGCACTGGGCTGGGTGAGTGACAGGCACCAGGCACCAGCAGGAGCCCAGAAGGTGAGAAAAGTGGGCTTGGGATATTTCTACCTAGTTCCTGCCCTGCAGCCAGAGGTACCCCAGTTCTGGCAGGGCTGCATTCTCCATGGCCACAACCTCCGTCTCCCACTGCTCTGCGGACCCCGATCCCTCCTCTTGCTGCTCATACCTAGGACTAGTAAGAACTTCCCACTGTCGGGAGCCCCTGGGTATTTTGCCCACCCATGTGAGCTCTCACAACCTGGTCCTCCCGGGCCTGCTGAGATTTCAAATGGCATATGCTGGGCTGCACTGTGTGCAGACATCAGGCAATGTGACTCCTGGGGTAAGTCGAAGCAGGGAGATGAAAAATGCTTTTATGTTTTAGCAGCTAGAACTTTCATCCTTTAAAGCAAAAATGTACTGTGATTGAGGAAAAGCCCTGATAAATTTGCTGAGGGTAGGGAGGTCCTTGCAAGGAGGAAGAGGAGACTTAACATATAGACAATGGGTGAGAGTCAAGGTTATAATTCAAGGCCATCATTGAAGACAAACCAATAGAAGAAGCCCAAATAAAAATAGCGATAATAGCAGGACAAAGAGCAATACATTGACACATCTTTTTCTAGGTTAGAACTTCACTTGGGTAAATAAGTCAAGTTCAGAGTGGAACTAAGGGGAAATATGAGATCAGAGAGGACTGGTACTTCCTTCAAATACAGAATATTCCCATGTCTTTCTCTCCGCCTTTTCAAACTCTAACCATCCTCACTGGCTGCACTCCTCTAAGTATGTGTCTTTCTTTGCCAGCAAACCCTTGTGTTTCAGAAATCAGGGACCCTGTTTCTTAGCTCCACATAACCCGCCCCCAGACAGCGCACACCTAACATACCACACAGCATCTGGTAGTCTGTCAGCTGCATCTTCTGGGCAGCCCAGCCGTTAGGTTCCACAGACACCTGCCTCCAACTGTCTCACCGAGACCCTCATACAAACTGCCCATCCACCTGCCAGGACTCAAAACGTCCCTGTGTGGAGGGTGTCTGTGAGTTCCTCCACAGGAGAAAATAATAAATAACTGATATTTTCATAAAGATAGGATAAGAAAACAATGATGAAAACGCTCACTTGGGAATTTGTGGAGGAGGCTCAAGTGGAATAAATGTATCAAATTTCTTTTCATATGGCACTCTGAAAACAGAAAAGGTGATCATAAAATTGGTTTTCTTCTATGGCAGAGATTGATACATCACTGTGTTCAATAAATGTCTTATCTTCTGTTTTAATCGTCATATATGGGCTTTAAAACTCTAATGGCCATAACTCTTATTAGCTTTACCATTTTTAGTGAACATCATTAAGTCAAACATGCTTAATTTTTTAATTAGTATTTTTAATGTAATACACCAACTATTTTTCTTTTAATTTAATGACCCTCCCTTTCTCCTCAATCACTTTGGTCTGAGTTCAGTTCCAAGTGTAAACAAACCCAACTAGCAGCCACTAACCAACAACCTGACACGGCATGAAACTTAAAGTCTTCAGATTTGTGGTAATAACGATAGGAATAAAATTAACAACCACTCTTTTGTAGTAAAGGTCCTGTGTATAAATTTAATTAAACATATATGTATGTATACACTAACAAAGTAAATATGGATGTTTTCAGGAATTTTCACCAACCAGATTTTGTTGAGCTCTTCCCCTTATAAAATATAATTTACTTGTAGTACAGAAAAATACAATTCCTTTAAATTTAACTAAATAACCCTAGCATTAGCATATACTTACATTGAAAAATTCACTGGTGGGAGAGTTGACCCTATTTTGTGGAAATCTTTACTCTGTTCTGGGTACATATATAGATTATCTCCTGGAGTTAACTTCGGGATTCCATTCCTGGGGTCAATATCTATGAAAGATGTTTTTTTAAAATCACAAAAATGGCTAAAGATATGAACAGATTTGCTCTGTTGACATGACAATGGAAATAAGATAATTTAGGGCTTTATTATGAGGTACAGATAGGTATCTTAAAGTTCTGTTTACAATTGTCTTACCTTGAGAAGAAGAAGATAAAAGTATGAGCCTATGTTTGGGACATTTTCTAAAAGGTGTTGTTATGATTACCTCACCCTGGGAAAGAAGGATACCGAAGGCGTGGATTAAAATGAATGATGAACCAGAGGTATCGCTGCAGCAATGAGCAAGAACTCCGATTTAAATCTTTTCATCCCTGAGCATTAGTGCTCTTTGAATCCCTGAGTCCTATGAAGCTCTAGAAGCTACTGTCATTAAAGCTCTGCCTCTCTGGTTCTCAGGAGGAAACCAGCTCAGGAGAGTCGTCTCCTCCTTCTGCTTCAAGGCCTGGGGCAGTGCAGCGGCAGAGGCGGCCTTCCCGGTGCAGAGGAGCCAGGAGAAAGCCCACCGCTGCTGAGCACACAACGCTTATTCAGCAGCTGCTCCGACACCCGACTGGGGACAAGTAATGAACAAGTAATCACTTACACTTGAAAGGAAGCAGCTGGTACAAGTTAGTCATTTAAACCCACACATCTGACACCAGATGCCCCTCCTAAGAGAAAAAGCCTGGACTGCAAAACTAACCAGCCTTGGGATCACATTACTGGACCAAACGGGTCCGTTTGCCTGTGCTCATCAAAGTGCAATAAGACACAAACAGAAGTTTGCAATCAAGAAAGTGAGGATTTATTCAGGAGATGGTATCATGCCCAGAGTCGCAAGTGAACTAATCCTCGAAGACCTGGCTCCCTGACGGGCTTCCAAGGAATGGATTCTATAGGGAAAAAATCATTAATCGTGGTGGGTGAAGGAGTTAGGATCGTGGTCTCTACTGATTGGTTGCTGTAGGGCAGGGGGTAATTGATCACTGCATCTGGTCCTGATGTCAGCCATGGAGTTCGTCTTTCTGAATCTGCAAGGATTTGTCTGGTGGGATCATTCTGTTTTTCTGGACGTGGAGCAAAACAAAACTGAGGCCAAGATACTATATTTAGTTTGATTGAAAGCTCTGTCTCTATAATCAATAGACCCAAGACCTAAGACGACTGCGTGCTGACCAGAGCTTCGTTGTCCTGAGGGCTTAATGATTAAACAAGGGAGTGGGAGGTGGAGAAATCACAGTGCTGGGTGAGGTGGTCTGAGTCAAAAGAAGGGGAGGGGAGGGGCAAGGAGGGGAGGAGGGGACCAGATTAAAAAAATAAAGTTTCTGAGTGGTGGCAATTAGAAGCAGGATGCATGGCTGGAGGCAAGTCCTCCATCTTAGCCCACGCACCCAATGCACAGGCCTCACTGTCTTCTTTTTAGATGTTCGTTTTGCTGTTACTTAATTCAATCATACCCATGAGGCAAGGCAAAGGGAGAGCTAGGGAAGGTTTTTGATAAGCTATTTTCCTCCAGCTAACTCAGAGAAGCTACCTCACAATAGGTGGAAGTACTGAAGAACTTGTTTTTTAACCATTTTCTTTCAAAAGCCTTTTCGGTTGCTAACACTCTTCATCTGAACTTCTTGCTAGCTCTGAAGTGTGGTGAAATAGCATCGCCTACACCCAAGATGGAGTGCCTGCCGGGTATGAGTGCGGAGGGTGTGAAGCAAGGAGAGTGGAGTGGCCCTGTCTTTTGAATCCCAAACCAGGGCACTGGCAAGTAAAGGTTGGTGACAGCAAGAGGTGGTGAGAAGGGCTGGGACTTTGGATTTAGTCATGCCTGAGTGCAGATTCAGTTCTGCAGTTTCTAGTTCTGTGCTCTTTAGCTATTTAACTTCTCTAAGCCTTGTTTATAAACGGTTTAAACTGTTTCTTTTGAATGTCTACTTTGCAGGGTTATCATGAATACTCCATTAGCATAATCTGGACCATAATCAGCACTCAGGTAACATTTGTTCATTATTATTTGAAGTCAGGCCTAGACTAATACCACCCCCATTCCAAATTTGTTTTTCACTCTGGAAAATACAATTGCCATCTAGTGAAGGTATAAACCAGGGGTGTCCAACCCATGGCCTGCGGGCCACATGCAGCCCAGGAAGGCTAGTAATGTGGCTCAACACAAAATTGTAAATTTACTTAAAATATTACTTAGTGTTATCACTAAGTTTCATACTAAGTTTTATTACTTAGATACGTACATTTTCTATATTAGTGATCACAAACTTGGGACCTGCTCCATGATTTTAAAAGATCATCGAAAGGGCCAATGCATCATTAGGGTTATTACATGAGGACTTTTTCAATTATCTGTGGTGGCAGATATTACGACAATTATGCACAGACCTTTTTTTGCTCATCAATTTTCGTTAGTGTTTGTGTATTTAATGTGTGGCCCAAAAGAATTCTTTCTCCAGTATGACCCAAAGACACGGAGAGGCTGGACACCCCTGGGAATCTTTTCCTAGGGAATCTTATCTAGATGGGGAGATAAGACATGTTTATAAGGAGATTAAATAATATTACACTAGGTGGTAAATGCCATACACTACAGAACAGCAGTCCTAAAATTTCAGCATAGCTCAGAATCCTCTAGGGAATGTGTTAGCAACGCCGCTTCCTGGGTCCTGACCTAAGACATTCTGTTTCGGAAAGTCTGGAGTAGTTCCCAGAACCGGCATTTTGCGTGAACTCTCCAGCTGATTGTGATGCCAGTGGTCTGAGGACAATGCAGGACCTAGGACCCCGCTGGAGTCCACAGGATGAGGTCGTGAGTAGGGAAGAACAAATAGCTGGTGTTCGAGTACAAGGCGTCACCCTTAGGGGAAAACCTCCCGGATGACACTGCTGAGATAACATGTGAGTTTAAGCCATGAGGGATCTTGTATGATTTCTGAATATTCAAAAAAACAGGTATCAGCCCTAAGTGCTGGCCACTGCATATCAAAAGCTGATAGATTCATAATGCATCATGCCTGCTTACACTTTTGGATGCACCATCCAATCTCCTAGCTATGAAGACATTCAGGCAATAGAAAATGGGACAAACATTAAAATCAAAGAAACGGATGAAGGAGCAAACTGTTCACCAAAAGAGCATATTCTGTCCCACGTCTCTCCACCCCGGTGCAGTCAGATGAAGCCATACCCTCACCAACAGGCTGTGAGCAGAGATGATGTGTGCCACATCCAGAAAGAAGCATTTAAGAGCTGACACGTGACCCCCCAGCACTTTCTCTTTCTCCTGCTAGGGCAGCCTTGGGAGCCACATGTTGAGATGGAGAAGTCACAGGGTGAAAGCAAAAGAGATCCTTGAGTCACTGCTGAGAAGGGAGCTGCCCTGGAGAGCCGCTGGATCACAGTGGACTTTACGAGAGGAAGAGTAAACTTTGACTAAGCTGCTGCAGTTTCAGAGGTGGTGTGCTACTGCAGCAGAATCCATCCCATGCTGACTACTACAGTGTGCTCTACCATAGGAAGACCTATACAAGAGAAAAAATATTTTTTCAGGTCTACTTCCCTACAACCTATAATCATAGAAAACGTTTTGTTCTTCCACCTATGACAACAAATTAAGCCTTTAGAGAACTCCCCTCACAGCCTGATCATAGCTGCTGGGAGTCAACTATTAATTAAATATATTTTTTTCTATAATGTATTGATTCCAATTCAAAATGACAGTCCCTGAAGCTGCCTCTCCATCTTGTTCAAGAACTAATGAGAGTTAAATACAGAGAAAAATTGATGGTTGCCACATGAGAAAAAGGTTGGGAGGCTGGGTGAAAAGGGTGAAGGTATTACGAATACAAATTAGCAGTTACAAAACAGTCATGGGGATGTAAAGTACAGCATAGGGAATATGGTCAATAATATTGTAATAATTATGCACAGCACCAGGTGGGGACTAGACTTATTGGGGGAATCACTTCATAAATTATATAAATCTCTAATCATTATGCTGTACACCTGAAACTAATATAATATTGAATGTCAACTTAACTGAAAAAATTTTAAGATTTTTTTTAAAAGAAAATAATGAGAGAGGAGAGAATTTCACAAAGCAATAAGTGTTCAGTGTCAAGCTTAATAATATTAAGTGCTACAGAAAACCAAGGAAAAGAAGAAGTGGGAAAAGACCACTGCATCTGATGTTTAAAGAAGTCGCTGCACCACAGCACCTATGAAGAAGTCACCACCCTACAACAAATCCAGTATCGGTTTACAAGAAATACCCAGGACGAAGGAGCCTGTCACATGGTATCTAGGAATGCAGTCAGCTAAATCCTGACTGTGGCAAACTGCAGACTATGGACACATGACCTAGTCTTTCACCAAATAAACTGCAAGGGAAAAAAGGAGGCGAGAACCTATATATTAAAAGAGACTGAAGATATAGTAAAAGACACTGAAGATATAGTAAAAGAGACTGAAGAGACTTTTCAATTAATTGCTAAGTGTGAACCTTCTTTAGACCTTAATTTAAACAAATTATAAGTATTTTTAATTGGCATTTGTGAAGCGATTGGGTATTTGAACACCAACTATTTGGTGACACTAATGAAATATGAGAAAGGCATGTGATCATGTTGATAAAAATAATCCTTATCTATTAGAGGGACACACTGATATGTTTACAGATGACACTATATGATGTCTGAAACTTGCTTTAAAACAGCCCATGGGGGAGAGGGGCGAAGTGAAACAAGATTAGTGAAACAGGTTGATTCCTGCTGAAGCTAAGTGACGGGTACGTCTGGTTACATTATGCTCTTCTCTCTACCTTTGCACATGTTTGAAAATGTCCTTAATAAAAGGATTTTCTTTTTAACAAAGGTAGAAAGAGGGGCTATCACTGGAGTAGGGGGAGGAAAGGTGCTGTATTTTGGGAGAGGCCTGTTGGAGGCTTCAGATAGAAAGATAATATACCATTTCTTAAACAGAGTGAGAAGCATGTAAGTGTGAAATTTTATTCTATATAGTCAATAAACATACCTCAGCATTTATTTTTAAACACGTAAAAGGAAGGAAGGAAAAGGAACAATCACAAACTTTAGGATGATTTTACTGCTGAGTTAACGAGGGAGTGATGAGTTAGGGTTAGGACTTGGACCATCACGACAATCCCACTCACTTCTTGGTTTTTGCTCCTCATCCAAAGATATGTTCACTGATTTTGAGAGGAGGGGGAGAGGGAGAGAAAAATATCAGTGTGAGAGGAAAGCATCAGTCAACTGCCTCTCGTATGCACCTGGATCAGGGATCAGTCCGCAGCCTTCTGGTAGACGGGAGGACGCTCCAACTGACGGAGCCACCTGGCCAGGGCATAATGCCACTCCCTTTTGATACATACTTGTCATTAGCCCAGTTCTGGTCAGTGAGAAATGAGTGGAAGGAAGTCTCCTAAGGACCATAGGGTAAAACTCTTTCTTCCTTCTAAAAGGGGAAGGCAACAACAGAATTTCCTCTTTTCCTGGTCTTAAAGAGAGACATGATGCTTGGAGTTGTGCATGCAGCAGTTATCTTGTGACCATGATAAGCATTTTTGATAAGACAAAAAGCCAACACTACTGAGAATGACAGCGCATGAGACAGAAAGAGTCTTTCCTTTGATGACATTACTGGGCAACCAGACCATACAGGCTGCCTAGATTTCAAGGCTTATTAGGTGCATAATAAATGTCTTATGATTTAAGCCTCTGATAATTTGGTTTTTCTCTTGAGGCCAAAAGCATTTGTAAGTAATATCCAGCTAAACTTAGTTTCTTCTTGCTTTTTCTCAGTTGTTTCAGATTTAAACCAGTTAAATAAATCCTCCCTGTTCTACCCTATTGCTGCATCTCAGTTGGGAGTGGGAAGGAGGGGTGTGCGCAGCAGGCTTACATGACATCAGGGCTTTAGTGGAAGGCTTTGGGGCCTCAGTTAATGTCTGCAAACCACACTGGTATCTTCTGCTTGCCCTATCTCTGCTATTCTCTGAGAGGTGGCATCTATTTCTGTTGTCTGCTAAAACGTGGCATCCAGTCTGAGCCTCAGGAAGCCATCCCCTTCCACAGTGCATCACGTGAAGCATAAATTTATTCTCATAGATCCCTGGCTTGATGACCCACAGTGCATCATACTGTGGTTTTCCAGTGTGAGACCTGGGCAGCTCCCCTGGCTTGCTCCCTCTTTCTCTCACTGTTTCTCTCTGCCCCAACCTCCATGGCCTCCACAGGGCACAGAAATGCAGTTATTCTTCCACACCTCCCAGGCGAGTGACACTCTGAGGCTGGCTTTCTGCCCACCCGCTGCCCACAGCTATCACTGCTCTCCAGCTCAGAGTAAGGGCAGGCGCCACCTCCCTCTGAGGCTCGAGCTCGTCCACCAGCCAAAAGCCCCAGCTAGATTCACATCCAATCACCCACCAGATTTTGATCTCAGGAGTTGGGCTCCTCAAAGTCCCCGTATCAGTGACTACCCTCCTACCTCCTCCAGTCTGGCATTTCATGTATTCTCTATCTAAACAAAATCCTTCGTTTTCAAAACTACTTGTCACTGATATGAGTTTAAAAGCCTATTTTAAAACTAAAAATGAAAACTTTCTATTTTTTTTCTCTTTGTATTCCTGCTACAGCAATTCTATTCATTCCTGAGGCAGTGGCTGCCTCCTACACAGGTATTTCTATAGAAGAGGGTGCCATAAACAGTCTGCAGTACTCAGCAACCTTTAGGCCTTCAATAAATTATGGATAGGCTGAGACAGAGAACTCACCAAGTTACAAACCAAGGAAATGAACAGATAGGTAAATAGGTAGGTAGGTAAGTAGATAGATACAAATGCTCGTGTCAATTACCTCTCATTAAATAAGCTATGAAATAACAATGTACACTTAAGCTGAGGTTTATGGGAATGCTTTCCTTGTAAAGAATATAAAATACAATTTAAATGCATAAGATAGGCAGCATCTAACTGAAACATAAATGATTTGCTTCAAACTTCACTGAGGTTTCTATTAATAAGTATCTGAGAGAACTTATCTGATGACTTAAATGTCACATTAGCATTTCATGAATTCAGAGAAAAACGAAAATGTGGATCAGCGTATGCTGTGAGTTCTTTGCCAAGAAGTGCAGCCTGCCAACCATCACTTTCATGTTCCTATCCTCCTGGCTGCACTAGGCTGACACAGTGACCCACAGGGCAGCCCCCAGCTGCGGAATGCTGGGGCTGTGGAATCACGACTCAAGGGTATTTGCAGGCATTGCACAGTCAGGGGCCAGGAGGAAAACATTACCATGTTTCTTCCTCCCAAGGCACTTGTCCACTGTCCTCTCCACTAGAGACCTCTTGTTGCTGAGAAAGACCCCCTCAAAGAAGCACTGCTTTCCAATGTGGTAGGTGTGGATGCTGTTACTAAACCTTGGATAAAAGGTCCACTCAGGACGCTGCCCATCTCCTGCAAGACATCAGAAATCCTTCCATTAGCATTGCTCCCAACTTCATGATGCAATGGGATGTGAAAAAGTTGCAGACACTCCCAGGCACTCTCTGGCTGTACAGCCTTTGTCAGTGTGGATAATGCCTTGGTTCTCCACCAAAGCAGTATTAGTCTCTGTGGGGCTAGACACCAAAGGAAGGGAAGTGGGGAGAAAGCTATCTAAGAGGCCTCTTTTCTTTTCCCTTTTTATCCCCTCCTCCAAAAATAAAGAAATTTTTATGGTTGAAAGCGATGTATGGGTTGGGAAGCTCAGAGACAGTTTTACAAGCACCTGTGATCCAACCTTTACTCCGTCACTAAGTGAGTAGGAAGAAGAAAATGCCCATCAACCAGGGAAGGGTGGGGCCAACCATGGCAGCTTACCTGGTTGGCAGCAACAATAGCACATGCATGAACTACAATGACACCAGAGTATGTACACGTGTGATTGAGGCAAACGAGAAAGGCTGCTCTGAGGCCTGGGGCAAGTTACTGGACCCCTCAGTATCCTTGTCTCCCCATTCTATACTTTTCCTATAAAATTACTGAAATAATTTTAAACAATAAGAGATCCACTAACAGCTATATGGTCGCTTAAAAAACACTTGGGTTCTGTGGTGGCTAAGAAAGAACACAGGCTTTGGAGGCAGGCAAGTGTGGTTCTAACCCCATCACTCCATGTCCTAGCTATGTGTGTACTTGCATCGGTCACTGAACCGCTCCAAGCCTCAGTCTCCTTCTGTGTAAAATGGGTAGGTTTCTACTGGCCACATAGATCTATATGAATTGACACAGAAAGAGGTCCAGGATCTATTTAAGTAAGTGAAAATAGTTTGTATACTATTTTCTACTAGTGAAAACATGGTTGAATACTATAACCCACCCATCTATACATACAAACACATGCATTTCAAATTTTTGGAAGAATGTTTTATATATTAAACTCTTCACAGCTCTTGGGCAGAATGGGGATATTGTTGGAGAATACTGGGGAAGGGGTTTCTTTATACACTTTACATGCTTCTTTATTATTTTAGCATTTTGATAGCTCTTTTGTGGTTTTCATATAAAGGCACTTCGTTTTTGAAAAACACATAATGGTGTCTTCCCCAGCGGAGTTGTTACAACAGTCAGTGGTGAAGTTGTTGAATGCCTGGCACTTAGTGGGTCTTCAGTGCATGGCGCCTAACAGTGTGACAGGCTTGTGGGAAGACCCTGAGCATGAAGGCAAGTGGAGGAGGATCTCTGACTTACTCACTTGTCTGTAACTTTAGCATGCTAAACTCCTCGAGATATTTATCCTTTTGGACTTCAGACAATGAGGTTTCAGAGGAGTGATTGGAATGTGAGGAAGAGGATTTCAGATCCAAATCTGCCACAGGGCTGGAAAGGAAGCAGAAGGATTAGATTTTTCCATGTGCTTAAACTGGTATTTAGGACCTGATCATACATATCTTACACTAGAATTACCCTCAACCATGATAACTACGCCTACTCTTCCATACACATCCATGGGCACATAATTTGTTTATTTACAATTTGCAAGACTAAAACACATTCAAAAGATGCATGCTAAAAAGTTTGGTGGGTCCTCAAAAATTTAAATATTGAATTACCACACAACCCAGCAATTTCACTCCTAGGCACTTAAAGTATGCCAAAAGAATTGAAAACAGAGACTCAAACTGATACATGTATGCAAATAGTCATTGCAGCATTATTCATAAGAGCCCCAAAGTAGAAACAACCTAAATGTCCATCAACAGATGAATGGACAAACAAAATGTCTCCTATACATACAATGGAATATTATTCAGACACAAAGTGGAATGAAGTTCTGATATATACTAAACATGGATGAACCTTAAAAACATTATGTTGCTCTGGCCAAGTGGCTCAGTTGGTTGGAGCATCATCCCACACACCAAAAGGTTGTGTGCTCAATTCCTGGTCAGGGCACATACCGAGGTTGCAGGTTCGATCCCCACTTGGGGCACATACAGGAGGCAACCAATCAATGTTTCTCCCTCACATCAATGTTTCTCTCTCTCCCCCTTCCTATCTCTAAAATCAATAGAAACATATCCTCAAGTGAGAATTAAAAAAAAAAAAAAAGACTTGTTAAGAAACATTATGTTAAGTGAAATAAGCCAAAATACAAAAGGACAAATATTGTATGATCTCACTTATATGAAATATCTAGAATAGGAAATTCTAGAATAGGAGACAGAAAATATATAAGGTTAGTAGATTAGAGTACCAGGGGCTGGGGAGACAAGATAATTTGTAACTATTGCTTATTAGATACAGAGTTCCAGTTTGGGGTGAAGAAAATATTTTTAAAATAGTAGTGATAATTGCACAACATTGTAAGTATAATTAACCACCCTGAATTGTGGACTTAAAATAGATAAAATGGCAAATGTCTGGCTATATATATTTTACCACAATTTTTAAAAAAGTCATGATGTACTAATACATGTTACTACATTGGTGAACCTTGAAAACATTATGCTAAATTAAAGAGGCAGACACTAATAACTACATACTGATGATTCCATTTACATGAAATGCCCAGAATAGGCAAATCTATAGAGAGAAAAAGGAGATCAGTGGTTGTCAAAGGCTGGGGGAGTGACGAACATGGGATGGGTGACAACTAGAGGGGATGGGCTTCTTTGGGGGGTAATGAAAATGTCCTAAAATTGTGGTAATGGTTGCACAACTCTGTGAATACACTGAAAACCACAGAGTTGAGCCCTGGCTGGTGTGGCTCATTGGACTGAGCACTGGCCTGCAAACTGGATGGTTACCGGTTCAATTCCCAGTCAGGGCACATGCCTGGGTTATGGGCCAGGTCCCCAGTTGGGGGCATGTGAGAGGCAAATGATCAATGTCTCTCTCACACATCGATGTTTCTCTCCCTCTCTTTCTCCCTCCCTTTCCTTCTCTAAAATAAATAAAGTCTTTTTTTAAAAAAAACATTGAGTTGAACACATTAAATGGGTGAATTATATGATATGTGAATTATGCTTCAAGAAAACTCTTACAAAACAGATGCATGTTCAACAAAATCATTAAATGGAAATTAAAAACCAGTAAGCATATAAAGAAATAATCAAAAACAAACCTAGGCTGAAATGGTTATAATAATGGAGCATTATGTTTGGTGCTGAACTTCCTGGCAGTCAAAAGGGCTGCCTACAACAAAGCACATTGAGTGTCAGCAGCCCTTCTGGTTTAAGCAGCTTTGCATGAGATAGAAGGTCATGGCCAAGGTTTTCAGGTATAAGTTATCTGTTATCAAATCATAGGCTCTTTTTCCATAAGATTACATTACCCCTATATTTGAGTAGTTTCAGAACAACTTCATACTGTTTGCATTTGCTCCCTACTAACAATCTTGTGATAAGTAGGGCCTAATAGAATCATTTCCACTTGAAAAGGAAATGGACCTTCAGAGAAGTTAAGGATAAAACACGCACAGGCAGGACCTGAACTTGATGTGCCATCTCATTTTAGACTATGTTGCCCCAAAATCATAAAGAACCCCAGTTCAACAACTCACAAGTCTTGTATAGCTAGATCTCCAGTTTTAAATGAACATGTATACTAATATCTTCGAACTTTGGTAGTGTGCAGATAGAGCAAAAAAATGCTATGACTCAGACTCCCCCAGTTCAGAACTGATAATTTTGACATTGGGATAAAATAAATCTCCCCTAAATATTTTTGAAAAGGCTTTGTTGAACAAACTGTATAAAAAAGATGGCAAGGATAAAGGAAACTTTCCAAAAGAACTGTAGAGAATTCAACTGCTTTGCTTACTCAACAAATATTTATCTGAGCACATTTTGTGGTGGGCACTGTACTAGATACTGGGGATCCAAACACAGTCCCTGCTTTCAAGGAGCTTAAAGTCGAGGACCAGCGGACATGGACAGATACATAGGTGACTGTGGAAGAGTGAGTAAATGCAGGTTGGTAAAAGGCAGGTTTTAAAAACAGTAGTATAGGGCTTTCAGTCAAGATGGAGGCACAGGCAAACACAGCTCACCTCCTCACACAACCACATACCAAAACTACAAATATAGAACAACCCTCACTCAGAACCATCAGAAATTAAGTTGAATGGAAGTCCAACAACTACAGATTTAAAGAAACCACATCCATCCAGACTGGTAGGAGGGGCGGAGATGTGGAGGTGGCCTGGTACCACACCCACATGTGGTGGATAAAAACTCGGGAGGGATATCTTGGGAGCAGGAAGCCCCACACCAAGCCTCCCAGCCCAGGGTTCCAGTGCCACTAAGATAAATCCCCATTGTTTCTGATTGCAAAAAGCAGTGGAGATTGAGTCAGTGAAAGAAACTTCTGGAGTCCCAAGTAGTTCCTCTTAAAGAACCCACACACCAACTTACTCAGACTCACTCCCTCTGAGCTCCAGCAACAGGGTAGCAGCTTGAAAGGCACCAGTGGCATAGAGGGAGGAACTGAATTGTCTGGCATCAGGGCAAGAGCTGGGGGACAGCTTTCTCCCACACAGAAATGTGGGCACAGGTCATTGTTCCTTTTCTGAGCCCTCCACTCACAGAGCAACAGAGCCAGAAGGTGGGTGCTATATCTGAGACTCCATCAACCTGGCTACCACTGTCTGCCCTGCCCTGGAGATTTCCTGAGGCTCCCACCCAACTTATAAGCCCACCCAAGCTGTTAACAGGGGCTTTTCCATATGAATAGATGGTTATGGGACATGCTTCACAACTTCCTAAATCCTATCAAACAAGCAACAGCAGGCCTCAGTAAGCCCCCAGTGCCCATATGTCTTGCTAAGTGGCCCCAGGCCTGGCATTAGCAATAACCAGCCTAAGTTCACAGCTTGGCTTCCCCTGGGAACCTACAGCCCAGCACAAGTACTGGCCATCTTCAGATTGCTTTGTAGTTCATGCAGGGTGGGCCCCAGGCAGAACACAGGTGGGAGTTGACCTTGGCCTGCACCACCCAAGAAACCCCAGAGCCTATGCACCCAGTGGACAGTTGCAGACCATTTCAGAGCACCACCACCCTGTCCCTGTATAGATGATCCTCCATGAAGGGCAGAGGCTGGTGGTCTATGGTCACAGCCAGTTCTTGCAGCTGACTGGTCTGGGTAAATCCCTCCCATTGATCTGCCAACAGCAATCAAAGCTCAAGTACAAAAGGAGCATGTACTCAGCTCATATGAAGGGTGCACCTCCAGTACCCTGCCTGGGTGATAGGGGAGGCTGTGCATCTGGACCCTATGGGTCACCTACTACATTAGGCCACACTACCGAGACACAGAGTCAAAGCAGCTTTATCTAATACATAGAAACAAACACAAGGAGGCTGCCAAAACAAGGAGACAAAGAAACATGGCCTAAATGAAAGAACAGATCAAAACACCAGAAAAAGAGCTAAGTGAAATGGAGATAAGCAATCTATTAGATGCAGACTTCAAAACACTGGTCATAAGGATGCTCAAGGACTTAGTGAGGACCTCAACAGCATAAAAAAGACCAGTCAGAAATGAAGTTTATACTAATTGAAATAAAGAACAATTTACAGAAATTCAACAGTAGAGTGGATGAAGCCAAGAATCAAATCAATGATTTGGAACATAAGGAAGCAAAAAACAATCAATCAGAACAAGAAAAAAAAAGAATCCAAAAAAATGAGAAAATGAGGATAGTGTAAGAAGCCTCTGAGATAACTTCAAGCATTCCAATATCTGCATCATAGAGGTACCAGAAATAAAAGAGAAAGAACAAGAAATTGGAAGTCTATTTGAAAAAATAATGAAAGAAAACTTCCCTAATTTGGTGAAGGAAATAGACATGCAAGTCAAGGAAGCACAGAGTCTCAAACAAGATGGATGCAAAGAGGCCCACTCCAAGACACATCATAATTAAAATGCCAAAGGTTAAAGATACAGAGAGAATCTTAAAAGCAGCAAGAGAAAAGCAGAGTTACCTGCAAAGGAGTTCCCATAAGACTGTCAACTGATTTCTCAAAAGAAACTTTGCAGGCTAGAAGGGACTGGCAAGAAGTATTCCAAGTCATGAAAAGCAGGTACCTACAGCCAAGATTGCTCTACCCAGCAAAGCTGTCATTTAGAATCAAAGGGCAAATAAAGTGCTTCCCAGATAAGGAGTTCCTCATCACCAAACCATTATTATATGAAATGCTAAAGGGACTTATTTAAGAAAAAGAAGACCAAAACTATGAACAATAAAATTGCAATAAATACATATCTATCAAAAATTGAATCTAAAAAACAAACTAAGCAAACAAGAAGAACAGAGATAGAGCCCTAGCTGGTGTGGCTCAGTGTTGAGTGCCAGCCTGCGAATCAAGGGTCATTAATTCGATTCCCAGTCTAGGACACATGCCTAGGTTGTGGGCCAGGTCCCCAGTAGAGGGCGTGAAAAGGCAACCACACATTGATGTTTCTCTCCCTCTTTCTCCTACCATCTCCCTCTCTAAAAAATAAATAAACAATATCTTTTTTTAAAAAAAAAAGAACAGAGATAGAATCATGGATACAGAGAATGTTTTGATGGTTACCAGATGGGAGCGGGGGGTGGGGAATGGGTGAAGAGGTGAGGGGATTAAGAGGTACAAATAGGTAGTTACAGAATAGCCATGGGCATGTAAAGTACAGTACAGGAAGTGGAGTAGCCACAGGACTTATATGCATGACCCATGGACATGAACAATGGGTTGGAGATTGCCTGAGGGTGTGAGAGGTGCTGGGTGGTTGGGGGTAAATGGGGAAAATTTGGGACAACCTTAAAAGCATAATCAATAAAATATAATCTAAAAAAATTAATATCACCAAAAGATCTTATTTCAAATAAATATATATTTATATGCATAAGAAATTTCTTTTTATGCATATTAAAAACATTAAAATGTTAACACTGATTCTCTAAAGAGGTGAAGTTATTGTGTTTTTTTAATACTGCTTTTATATTTTCAAAATTTTTACAATGAATTGAAATTACTGTCATTATAACAAAATTTGTTAGAATAATATTTTCAAAAATTTTGCTGTAAAAAAAATATAAACAGAATGGCACACAAAACATGTAATATAAATACAGCTTTACAGCTAAGTATAAAGCCAACATCCAGGACAAGAAACAAACACGAGGCCAGCCCCACCCTCCCCAGAGCCCTTTCCCGGGAGGTGGCCACTTCCCCGACTCTGACCCTCACAGCAGTCATTTCTTGTCGTTAAGACTCACCACCTACATACATGTGCATGTATGTATTCCTAAAAATATAGAGTTTAGTTTATTTTCACCAGCTTTTTAAATTTCTTTTTTTTTATACATTCTGAATCTTTCTGTGATTATTTTTATTTATTTATTTATTTATTTATTTATTTAGAGAGGGAAGGGAGGGAGATAGAGAGAGAGAGAGAGAAACATCAATGTGCAGTTGCTGGGGGTTATGGCCTGCAACCCAGGAATGTACCCTAGCTGGGAATCAAACCTGGGACACTTTGGTTCCCAGCCCACGCTCAATCCACTGAGCTATGCCAGCCAGGGCTAAATTTCTTTTTTAAATTAATTTATTGTTGTTCAGTTACAGTTGTCTGCATTTACCCCCCACTATTACATTGCTTTTGAACTTCACAATAGCAAGCACTTGCACAGCACATATGATATGCCAGCGAGTCACCTAATCTGACAGAACGGATTCTCTTTCATGAAGCAGTAATTATGTGGCAAAGTGAAGACAATGGGTAAACTTCTCTGTCGGTCATGGCCCTCCCTGACTTGTAATTGTGGTGCCCGGGGAGTTATAATTTTTTTCATATATTGAACATATAAACTTTGCCCAAGTTCACACAGAGGCTAAGTGGTAGAGCTGGGCTTTAAACCCAGACTGGCTCCAGAATCCATGTTCTTGGCAAAGACGTCTAACTACATCTCAGACCGTTGGCTCCTGGTCAGAATTTCCCCACCGTTTATGGCCTTTTGCTGGACCCTTACTTACTCTGGGAGAGCAGACACTCTGCAGGGGGCTGGAGGTGTGCTGACGTTTCCACCTATTACTGCAGAACATGAGGAGCTGCCCCTTTGGTCAGAGGATGTTGTATTGACGAAAAATCCCTCCGATTCCAGGAAATCCTTGTCTTTAGTACCTACAACACAAAGACACCGCAATTTGATTATGTTAATGAAAATACTTTCCACTCCATCTTGTTCCCTAGGCTACAATTTTTTAAATTAACATTTTTGAGCAGTTATTGTATGTACTGGGGATTGTGTTGACATCTTACACATATTTTCCCTTTTTATTCTCATAACTACCCACAGACATAGGTATTTATCCTTCCATTTTACAGATGAGGAAACTGTGGCTCAGAAGACTAAGCAACTTGCTTAAATCACACAGACACAGACATCTTGGCCTAGATTTGACCACAGTTCTTATGACACTACAGTCTAAAACCCCAACTGCCGCGCGAGACTGCTTGTGCCTCCACAGAGTGTGCTCTGAACTAAGTGAAAGAATTAAGAGCTGACTCGAACTATATATCACTGTCTGTTTACTGAGCATCTCAATACAATTTTCCAGAGGATTTGTTCATAAAAGACTAATGAATGTAGCTGGTGATCAAAACCCAAAGAACTGTGTCTCCAGAAACTTCCATGGGTTCCCCTCACAACATAGTGTCGTCATTCATTTCCGTACACAACTTCCTCACCAGGCTGTGTCTCGGTTATTTTAGTAGCACCCAGAACAGGGCCTGGCACAAAACAGATGTTCACTAAGTGAAAAAATTATAACTCCCCAGGCACCCCAGTGACAAGTCAGGGAGGCCTATGACTGACAGAGAAGTGTACCCATTGTCTTCACTTTGCTATACAATTACTGCTTCATGAAAGACAATCTGTTCTGCCATCATTGTACATGAGTGTGTGCCTTGTCCATCCACTTTTTTAAAAAGGCAGGTAAATGGATAGTGTATTTCTTCATGCATAACTTCACAGAGCACAGAAGTCAATAGACTTCTATCACAATGTAACTTCTGGTTATAAGAATACCACAAGCATTAAGATTCAGACTTCTCTGACTCCTGAGTGAACTTTTAGGTTGACTGCTATTCCAGCTCCGGAGTATCATGCTGCACGTGAACGTATATACAGGGGTCATCTGTAAATTCCCATCCTCTGTCGGTGGGATTGGTAGTCATCTGGCTCCCTCTCAAATGCATACAGCAAGTGGATCATACCTTCTACATTCTCAAGTCTCAACTCCATCACCAAACCCTTTATTCTTTTTTAAATCCTCACCCAAGGGCATTGTTTTGTGGTTTTTTTTTTTCTCATTGCTTTTAGAGAGGAAGGGAGAGAGAGAAACATAGATGAGACAGAGAAGCAGCCATCGGTTGCCTCCCGTACGTGCCCAGACTGGGGATTATATGTGCCTGGATTCGAGATCGAACCTGCAACCTAGGTACGTGCCCTGATCAGGAATTGAACATGCAACCTTTTAATTACAGGACAACACTGCAAACAACTGAGCCACACTGGCCAGGGCCAAACCCTTTACTTTTAAGAGGACTGTCTGTGAGTCTACAACATTTGAAGGCCAGCTGAGCTACCTCCTCCCCTCACACTATCCTGATTCTAGGACTGTCTGCATTAGAATGAAAAGTACAGATTCCAAAATTCCATCACAGAGCCTCTGAGTTAGAATCTATCCAAGTTGACACCTGGGAACCCACATTTTGAAAAAATGCCCCTCTCCCGGTAGCTCCTGGGCTCCCGTCTCCCACTGATTTTCCTCCTCTGCAAGCCTAGCTCCACCAGAGCGCTGCATTCCATCCCGTCCCACTTCCTGACTCCCAGCTGCGCAGTGTTCCCTGTATTTGCCTGGTCAGGAGAACCACCTTGGAGCACTCGTTCAATAACATGCAGATTTCAGAGCTCTGACCCAGACCTACCAGGGAAGATCTAGGAATCACTGTGTTTAAAAAGCACCTCAGGTTACTGATCCTCAGGAGCAGCCAAGTGTGGGAAGAACTGTTCTGGAACATGCTGGAAGTCCTAGAGCAGCCTCAGGTATAGTGAAGGTCAACTGGTTCCTTCAGGTGTGAGTAGTTGGGATGGAGTGGAGCCCAGTGGAGGGGTGAGAAAGGAGCAGAGTTGTAAAGAGGGGAACACAGGTCCCTGGCAGCCAAAGAAGAAACCACCCATATACTGAGTCACAAAAGCAGTGTCAAATACAACACATTCCACACTCTCTGACCACAATGCAATACAATTAGAAATCAACAATAAAAAGACAGCCAAAGTATCCATGAGCATGGAAACAGATCACACTTGTAAATATTTCATATTAAAAAAGAAACTATAATGGGAAACATGAAGTACTTAACAACCAACAATATAAGTACTATATATCAAAACTTGTGGGATTCAACTAAAGCAGTGCTTAGAAACCTGTGCCTTAAATGTATGTACTGTTTTCCACCGAATATAAGACACTATCCATTGTGGTAACATTATTATTTTATGCACCTTAAAAAAAAAAAAAGGCTGCCAATTACACTGTGGCACAGGGGTCCTGGCCGGTGTGTTCCGGTCTGGTCGGAACATCATCTCACAACTAAAGGTCCCCTGTCCTGGCACCTACAGGAAGCAACCAATTGACATTTCTCTCTCACATGGAGGCATCTCTTGCTCCCTTCCTTTCTCTCTTCTTGTCTCTCTAAAGTAATGAAAATAAAACGTCCTCTGGTGAGGATAAAAAATTAAAAAATAAACTATGGCACAATCTTTTATCACTTAGAATTTTTACTTTATACTTACTGAAGCAGTCTTTTAGAGATTTTAATCACATATTGCACTCATGTGCATATTTAAAGAAGAAAAATATAAGCAAAATAAATTGGTTAAGGCATTCTTCAAACCATACTCACATCTGAAAATCTGATACTAACTCACTTCTCAGCTCAGTCACTGATGTGCACATTTTCCACCTCAACTGGCCTCAGTGCACCAACATGGGTGATGCAGCATTTCTAAACGAGTGCTCCTCTACTGCCTCTGGAATTTTCCGAAGCCACAGATACTTCCTGCATTGTTCAGTCTCACACAGCAAAGTGTATGACAACTACTTCACACCTGCTTCTGGGCCCTCAGCACGGCTGGACCAATCCAAATTCAGAGACGCAAACTGTGAAAAATGTTCTTCTTGGAACTGATGGGTTAAAGTGCAAAAAAAAAAACATTCCAAAATTAATTAACTAAGCTTTCAGTTCAAGAAGTGAGAGGGAAAAAGAATAAATCCTCCAAAATGACAAGGAAGTAAATCATAAAAGAAAAGCAGAAATGAATGAAATGAAGATCATCAGTTTTGTCATGGGGAAAAAACTAATAATGTAGATAAGCAAAGTTCAAGAAAAAATCTGAACACAAGTATACAGTGTTAGGAAGAAAAATGAGGTCATAATTATTGGTAAAATGGAAATGATTTTACCTATAAAGAAATTGAGAATCCAAAATGTCAAACAACATGTTCAAGATTACAGAGCTATGAAGTGTAACTTATAAAATGTAGTTTAATGTTACAAGTTATGTCCAGAAGGTAACCAGCCATGTAATATGAAAAATAGAGACATTTATTGAAAAAGGAACAAGATACAAGAAACACTGTAAATAAGACAATGACTCCTCAGTCCCCTTCAAGTAGGCACCTTGGGACCTCACACACTTCTCCCAGTCTCCATCAGCTGCCCCATCATATTTTCCTGAATCTCATCGATGGTCTGAAATCTCTTCCCTTTCTAAGGTGATTTTAGTTTTGGGAAAAGCCAGAAGTTGCAGGGTGCCAAATCTGGGCTGTAGCAGGGCTGAGTTACCTGGGTGATTTGATGTTTTGCCAAAATCTCTGCACCAGGCTCTGGCAGGTGTGGCTCAGTGAATTGAGTGCCGACCTGTAAACCGAAGGATTGCTGCTTTGATTCCCAGTCAGGGTACATGCCTGGGTTGTGGGCTGGGTCCCAGTAGGGGGTGCGTGAGAGGAAAGCACACACTGATGTTTCTCTCCCTCTCTTTCTCCCTCCGTTCCCCTCTCTCTAAAAATAAGTAAAATCTTAAAAAAAAAATCTCCGCACAAGATATGAAGCTGCCAATCACCATTTGTCCATAGCTGTAGTCTTCTGAATCATCTGAATAGTTTCTGTGGAGGAACGTTCAAACTTTACACAAAATCTGACACAGATTCATTTCTCTACTCACTCAGTCATTTTGAATGCCATGGCCACAGAGTGCACATGCTCACTCAACAGCATCTATCACCCCCACTGACTAGTACAGTGAAGTCGTCATTGTTCACACATGCACATTCCAGTGCACTCTCCTTCACTGCCAGGTTACATGGATGTTGTGCAAACTGTTGTCATTATATTAACAATGGCTGGACTTTTTCTGGACAGACCTCACACATTTAAAACTTCCAAAGCAAGTTATAAGCTAAAGGGAAACTTGTAACATACATGATAAGAAAGAGTTAATCATGACAAATTATAAATTTGTATAAATTTATAAGGTGAAAATAAATACTCAAAGAGGAAAAAATGGGCACAATACTCAACTAGGTAAATCATTAAATAAAATACACACACATACATACAAATAGCCAATATACATTTGGGGGAAAGTTTGTCTTTCCTAATACCCAAAGAGCTGAATTTAAAATGAGATACTATTATTTGCTATCAGTTTGCACAGCCCTAAATTGGTCCAGCTTGGAGGAATGGCATCCTTGCACACTGCTGGTAGGAATGTCTCCATCTCACTAAAGAGCAACTTGGCCGTGTGTCTCCTCCAAAGTCTATGAGAAGTGTACTTTTGATCCCATGGTTCTACTTCTAGGAACATATCTATGTAAAAGGTACACATTTTATCTGTGTGAACGCAGAAAGGACCCACACATGTAGAGAAGAAATAAGATCAAGGGCAGATATGTCATCTAGGTTCTTATATATAGTTCTGAGTTATTTATTATAGCACTGACTTATGATAATTTTTGCACATAGGTTTTAATTGCTGTTGCCTTTTCATAGCATGAAAACATTTAATTGTATATTTCCCACTAAAGGACTTGAAAGTTGACCAAAGCAAGAATTGAGTGTTACAGATGGTATCAGAGGAACCTCTTCAAAAGATTTTTGATTTTGTTTCATTTTGTTTTTTCATTTTTAGGGGCAAAATTTGAATATATTACATAACCCTGAGCAGTGAGCAGTGAAATCACACCTATAGATTTAGCCTATTTCCTTGTTTGCTGAAGAAGTCTTGTGTGGCAACACTCTAGAAAGTGGCCTGTGGCTGCTGCAGCAGGGAAGACATGTGACAGGCAAGGACAAAAAGGGCAGCCTGTGTTAAACTGGCAAACAGCGTATCCTCCAGATGGAAGTGACTACAAGATCTTTCTAGAGGTAACTCAGCCTCAAACACAACATGGGAACACTTAAATGAAGCTCAAGCTGCCCCCCCACACCTGCTCAGGTAGAAGAGTCTGTGCCTTCCACTCTGGTACCAGTGCTCCCACGCCTAGAGTGAAAACAAGGAACTTCAAGCAGGTCCATTGCCTCCCCATGCTCAGCTCCCAGTGCCAGACCCTCCTCTCTGTCCAGCTCTCTAGTTGTGGTGAGGAGCCAATAAGCGAAGGTACCTCTTCTTGAAAGGGTCACCACTTATCATGATAATTGTTATTCCAATGCAAAAATGTTCGGTAAGCCATAACATAGGAAATTCTAACAAGCCGCTACAGCACTATGAGATGAGGAAAGATGATGCAACCGAAAGGACAAAGTGAAGGTTCTGGTGACTAGAAAGAAATTCAGGGGAAAAGGAGAGTTTACAGAAAATCCTGCTTCTTTGGTACCATCTGTAGAATCCAGGATAATTACTGCTATCTCTTCAGGTAGGAATAACATCTTACACAATCAAGGCTCTTTCACACACTTGTCATCTGAGCTTGTTCAGACAATGGCATTGTCTGGAAAGGAGAAAATAATACATCAGTCCAAGTTTGCTTAATATGGATACTCTTTAACTAGACGTTCAGTTTCCCACTCCTGTCTATCTGTCTGGCAAATAACCTAAGGATCTGGGACAGCAGTTTTTAACTCCATTTTGGGTCACAGGCTCCCCGATAAGGAATGTCAGCAATGGGCCCTCTCTGCTAGAAAGCTGTGTGTATACCCACCGTTGTGCACTCATCTTCGACTGGTTTTTGGAGCCCTTCTTTCCTGAACCCCATGAGCTCAGGTGTGGTCTCCTGAGTGACACATCTACAGAGCAGAAAAGGCAGCCACCGATCTTTGGCTAAATGTGGTTTGGCGATCTCAGGGGCTGGTGCCCCTAATACAGAAACATGGAGCCTCTTGACCCCACCCTTAAAACAGCAGCTCCCTCCTGAACCCAGATTCACCTGCAGAGAAGTCTGGGGCTTCAAGTTAGAATTCCAGAACCTTTTTGTCCTGCTGACCTAGGCATATTGGGCAATTCACAATTCTACCTCCTAGTGCTCTGAAGGCCCCACTTGTAAGTGGCTGTTGTGAGTCATAGCTCTCTCCTCTCCCTGCACTTGTCAAGAAAAATGAGGGGGTTGCAGACCTGGATACAGAAGACCAGGGACCAAGCTAAGATCTGATGGAGAAGAGATAAAGGATTTTACAAACCCTTTTTGCAGCATACAGGACACTCACTTATAACAGGTAAATGCCAACCTGGGCATATACTCTGAGGTTTTCTGAGACACTGTGGTTGTTCTGCTCCATGACACTGTTCTCTCAAGGTAAATGTGCCCCAAACATCTTCCACAGGCTTAAGAACCAATTACAGAACTACCATCCATTATTTAATTTACATCTTTCCTTAAAGTGGTCATAATTTCTACCTGACCCATCCCATCCAATACAGTACTACAAACCTACTAATATATAAGCAAAGGGGAAAAATGAAAGAGCATGGACTTTGGAGACCAGAAGATTCCTGTCAAATCTCAGCTTTGCCATTTATTGACTGAAGCACGGGGCAGGTCAAACTTCTGGCTCCCTTTACTCATTTGTAATATATAGGGCAGGGTGGGGGCGGGAAAGCCATGGGAATGTTATGAGGTCCAGGAAGGTCATTTGTGAGACTCTGCTTTGAATCTGCTCTTTACCTTGTTAGATCTTGGTTTAATATGACACAAGTAGTTGTTTGGTTTTTTCCAGTATGTCCCAAGCTAGCCCCCTTTTAAACTTGAAATGGTGTCTCCTGGCTTTAGTATACTTGGATAGGAAGATCAAATCCCATCCAGCCCTCCTGATTTCTTCAATTTAACTGTATCTCCTCTCTCCTATGGTCATACCGGAGTCTACTTTCTCTGGAACCTTCTCCACCTCTCTGCTGCAGGTCGTTCTGGCGATGCAGGAGCTCTGACGGCCTTGTGGCCCGTTTCCGGTGTATAGACTCATCTGTGCACGTGTTAACTTTAAATATTAAAAGCAACCTGGAGACAAAGAAAAGACCTTTTTAAGAAAGGCAGCAATCAAAACAAACAAACTCCACAGCCACGGAAAGTCAAGAGGGCAGGTCTGGCCTCTTCATCAGTTTCCCTGGCTCCCTCTACCCGGTGTTTCTCGTTCGGAGGGCCCCAGAGCTCTGGTGAGTTCTCACCCAGCCCCCGCAGGGCTCACTGCCCCACGCACCTTCCCTTTTCCACCTATGAGTCTTCCCTCCCCTTCGCCTAAGGATGGCCCAGCTTAATTAACGCTGGGAGGACTACAGGAAAGACGCGGTGAGATCAACGCACCAACTGGCAGCCGAACTGCCTCAGATGCGGGGAGGAACCCACAGCCAAACGCGAGAGGAACGCGGCCGCCGCCCGCTCCTCTCACCCCAGAAGCGCGTCGGCGTTGCCAGGACACCGACCCAGCTACGCGCAGCCTCGCGGGTTAGCACCAGGCGGGGCTTCCAGGTCTTCCGCCCTCTTGGTCTCAGGGCCCAAGGGTCCTTGGCTTGTGGTGGAGTCTTCTGAGATGGGCAGAACTAGAGCTCCAGCCATGGTAGGGAGTCGTGGGCAAGGACCACTGGAGAGTTTGCTCAGTGTTTTGGGTTTTGGTGTGTGTGTGTGTGTGTGTGTGTGTGTTTAAACAATTGTGGCTCTTATGGCAATTTCATTATTGGAACTATAGTCTCTGGTGGCAGTGAAGGATGAGCCCTCCACGAAGTTTGCAGATGCCCGCTTATAATTGGCATTGATTAGACAGGATCACCTACCGCATCCAGAGCGGCTTTTCTGGGCCAGGCCCCCTGGTGGATGTTATCTATTCCTTAGGCAGCCAGCTGCATTTTTCAAAATAGAAAGCTGAATCTGAGCAAGGCTTGCTCAAGGTCACTCAGAAAACTGACATTATTTCCAAGTTTCCTCAGTCCAAATCTACCACTCTTCCCATCAAATCTTACTTCTCCCTAGGTGAAGTGAACAAATTTAGACTATGTTTTTATTTTTAACATTTTTTTTTACAGATTATAAAATCAGTGGTCACTATAGAAATCTTGGAAAACATAGAAAAATAGTGTTAATACCCACAGTCCCACAATCCAGATCAACCACTTTTTCTGGGTACCTAATGCTATATGAAAAATCACCCCCAAACCCTGTCGCTTTAAACAACTGTCCTCATTATCTCATGATTCTAGGGGCTGGCTAGGCTCAGCTAGGCTGTTCGTGCTGGGGGTCTCGGACATGGTTGCAGTCAGAAGGCTCAAGTCTCTTCATTCATGTCCAATGAGCTGTGCTGGCCCTCAGCGGGGTCCTTGGCTGGAGCTTTGGCCAAATCACAGACAGATGGCTTTTCCGTGTGCTTCCTCACAGCATCTGGCATTCCAAAAAGGAGCATCCCAGGGCCACTGGGCAGCAGCTGCCCTGTCATGGATGCAGGAAGAGGAGACCTTGACCACACCTCTCAATGGGAGGTAAAGGTCACATTGTATGAAGAGCCTAGGGTGTGAGGGACCTTGTTGTCACCATCTTAGGAAACAGGGTCTGTCACCCCACTACTAATACTTAGGGGTTATTTCCCACCTATCCTTTTTCTACACACGTATATATTAACATAGTTGGAACTAGAGCACATATACAATTTTCTCTCATGTTTTTCTTATTTAACATTATATCCAGGGCATCTCTTCTTACTAAAGTTAAAAAAACACATTTCATCTGTTTAATTCTCTTATCACATGAAAAATGGTAACTTTTGCAATAGAATTGTTAGCCGGGCAACAGCATCATTATTAATGGCATGACCCGAGGTGCTGCAATGCCAGGAGGGTGGAGATTTTTGTCTGTTCTACTCACTGCTATACATCAAGTACTTGGCACAGTGTCTAGCACATATAAGCATTCAATAACCATTTGTTTAATGAATGAATAAATGGATGGATGGATGGATGGATGGATGGACGGATGGATCCTACCATGGCCTGAACTGAGACCCTCCCTCTCCTGTTTGGATACTCCTGGGAGGAAAGAGACCAGGCCCCTAATCTGCATCACCAAGTTCCAAGACACCAAGACCCATCTGTTAATCCAAGGATTTCAGGGCTGGTGGGTGAATCCCAGAGTCAAAATGTAATGGGGTACAGAGCAAGGGTCCCCTGAAAATAGAAGCCCCACAATCATTGCTTGGGGAAAGGGAAGAGTAGATGATGCAGCATTTAAGATACATCGCATAACAATGGCTAGTTAACAGCCGTGTCTTCCTGAAGGGAGGAGAACTGACACTTAGCATAAATGGTGCACATGATGCTGAAAATACTCAGGGACTCTTGACATGTAGGGGTTGCTTATACTGTGCCTGCATGAAAGGCAAGTGATAGATGCCAGGTCACTGGGAACTCTTGCCCTCACTAAAGATGGCAGCCAAACTGGCAAAAATGGCGGACACTAACACAACATAGGAGGGGCCAGATATGAGGTCACAAAGGAAGTTCTGGGCCGAGCATTTAAAATGAGGGCAGGCTGAAACAGAAGAGAGAGAAGCTACTCAGTCTGGAGTAAGAGAGGAGGTACTTCTGCTTCTCTGAAGGACGTATGGAGAAGCCACTCTCTTGGGACGTGTGCCTCCCTGGACCCCACCATGACCCAGTGTGGCACAGCACATGGTTTCCTGAGTCACTGCATGGAGGCTGAGAAGAGCACATCCCAGATCCCAAAGGAGAGCTGCTGCTGCGAGAGGATGGGACTCTGAAACCCACAAGGGCACATTCCAGAGAGGATGGAGACTTGTTTGCACGACCAGCTTAAGGACAGATAAGGATATGGGGAACTTCTGGGCATGCTTTTAGCTTGTAGTTTTTCAGGGAGCAAGGGACTCTGAGTCTCATGGGAAAGAAGGGCTCTGAGCAAGAGTGCTCTCCGTCTCCCCAAGGTTGGAATCCTGTTAATAAAAACCTGTTTCCTTTAACACTAATTGCTGGGTCATATGTCAAGGTGCCAGGTGGCTTACTCAGTAACAAAAACTCTGTTGAGTCCTGTGAACTGCTACTCATAAACTGCCTGTGACTCTGCAGCTTTAAAACCTCCAGGGCTACTTTGCCTTCATCCCTTGGGCAAATTTTAGATGCCTCCTGTACCGTGCCTGCTCCAGCGGCAGGCCCTGAGGTTTGGAGGGGCACAGGAGCCACCTGAGAAGTCCTGGTGGCACACGGGGCTCAGGCTCAGTCCACAGGCAACCAATACCAGCCGGGCCACTGGGGTTGGACAGCAGGGGTGAGGGTCAAGAGTGCTGGGAGTGTCCAGAAGCCCAAGGCTTCCTTCCCTCCTGAAACCCCGCAGTCCTTGCTGGGAGGGCGAGCACCACCCTACAAGGACTTCTCCAGGGTTCCCTTGCCACCTGGCCGTGGTGCTGGAGGCTCCTCCCTTGGTTGCATGTCCCAACCAAGCCTGGCCTGGAGGTCACTGTGGAACCTGCGCAGGAACAGAGGGGCCTGATGCATTGAGTGAGGCCAGCCCCAGGCTTCTGAGGTCAACTCAACATTCTCCAGGGCCCTAGAGCTCAACAGTCTAGGATCCTCATGTGCCATGAGCCTGGGTCTAAACGAGTCCAGGAACTTTGGGCTCCAGGGCCACCACTGGCACACAAAGGGTTTACATGGCTAAGTATTACATCAAATCATATGAAGTTGTTGTTCTTGTAGGTCAAACATGGTTGCACATGGAAAATTTCATGATTCAGCCTAATGGTAAAAAGTGTATGCTTCTAGCAAGTTCTGTGGCGAGGTCAGCAGGTGTGCTGGACTTAAGCACCATTGCCCCCCTCTGGCCTGCAGGACCCCACTTCGTGTTCACTGGCCCGGGGCTTGACTCTGAGAAGGGGGAGGAGGCAAGGTGATGGATGCAAGTGGACGTGCGGGCTGTTGCAGGCACGGGGCAGAGAAGCTTGGTTCTGGGTCTCTCCTGGCTCCCATGCCTCCCGCAACCCCAGACCTTTGAGAGCAGCTAGGGCAGCTCTAAGAATTAGGTGCCCAGGGATCAGAGGAAAACAGACAGCAGATGGGGAATGACATCAAACTACCTGTTCCTTTTGGGTCTTGGCCAAACACGAATAACCTGCCATAGAGAGAAACTTGAGCCTAGAAGGATGTTGGTATTTGATAGCTGAGTGGTCTGGAACATTGGTAAAAAGCCTCATGTTTGGCAAATGTTAGGAGCTGCAAACTAAATTCCAGAGAGGGGTCTTAAACACTACCTCTCCCCCCAACACTACTGCCAACAGCCGCTACAGGGGAGCCTCTTCCTCAACACCAAGAAAAGTCACCAGAAACCCTTACTGACCATGCTTGTCCCATGAGTACACACCAGAGGGCAGTGTAAGCCAGGACACGCGATGGAAGTTTTGGCCAGAGATTCTCCACTGCAGCCTTCAGGCTCGCATCACAAGGACTCATCCAAAGAGGGCGCTGGGAAAATAGGTGCTGAGTAGATTACAGACTCAAGATCAGCTCTGAAAATCTTCAGCGGCAGGCAGAGGGGCTCTGGCAAAGGTGTGGAGAAGGAGCACTAGCTACCTCCGAACTCGCTGACACCAAGAGCTCTCAAATCCCCAAAGGGCCTTCCCATCTGTTCAGGGCAGGAAAGTTCCCAAGACCCTCAGATGTGCTCAGCACTGAGCTAGGGGCAAAAGTTCTAAAAAGCTCAGCCCCTTCCTATGGTCTGCCACTCTTTCCACGTTCATTCTCTCACTTACTCCTACAACAGTGAAGTGCTGTAAGAATCATCCCCATTTACAGATGATGAAAGACAGACTCAAATGCATTGAAGAACTAGTCCAGTTAGTAAATGGCAAACTTGGAGTGTAACCCAGTTTCTCCAGATTCAGGGCCTGGGCGCTCACCACTGCACCAGAGCCCTCTTAGCATGTGCTCTCAGCAGCGAGGGGGTCCACTTGCCATCTCAGCACCAGGCAGGAGGTCGCGACTCCTGTCACAGGCTGTCAGAACGCCCAGGTGAGGCCTAGGTGGTGCTCATCCTCAGAAGTACAATCCCCTTGGCTTAGGTATCAGAGTAACAGAAATAAAATTTAAAAAAATATAGGTACTATATATAGATATAAAATAGACACACAGAGTAAGGACACCGGTATGTGAGTGCAATGTCTATCCTCTACAGATTTAGAAGTGAGAAGGCTGAATTTGATGGGGCTGTGAAATTTGTTGAATACAAGGTGTGGCCCAAGATGGAATGAGTCACTGCAAATCCCTCAGCAGAAGAATGACGTGGCATATGCTGTGCACCCTCACACTCCCCCTCCGCCCCTCCAGGTTCAGGCCCCACTGTTCCTGCTCTCTCTGTGCCCAGCAGGCTGACCTATGTGGACTACATCCCTCAGCTCCCCTGGGAGGCACTGCAGGAAGGGAAGAGGGAAGGAGTTAAGTGAAGTCAGAGTTTTTATTCCCCTGCTCCTTCCCCATTGGGACTTAGTAGTCTATGCTCCTCTTCCTGAGGCACAGCTCCCTTCA